TACTAAAAAGGCAGAGTTACAGTTATGGAAATCACTAAACATTGGTTGTTTAGCAACATAGAAATGTGAAGGGAGACTTAGATAGAATATAGTAGCTAAAAGCAGCTATAGATGCCTAAGCCTCAGTAGTGATATAAGGGAGGCAGCCAAATTCAAAGAAACTTTAGGTTTTTTTTTTTTTAATTTAAATAAGTTACTTTGTGAATTTCTGACACTAAGAAATATATTCAGTGTTTCACTACACTCTTGTTCTATACTTAAGATGCATGACTGTACGTAAGATTTCCATTATTTGTGAATTCCAGCACATGATCATATTAAAGCCTTTTATCTATTCTCATATTTGGTGCTGAAAGCATTTTTCATCAGGCTCTTTATATTGAAATCAGCCTGATTTCAAAATATTCACTTTATATTCATGTTCTCAAATGGCTTTCAAAAATTCAAAAACCATGAGAAATTTGGTTTTACATGTAAATATTTACATATATGGTTTATGCTCTCTAATCTCTGTAGCTGATACCAGTACTGTTCTTCTATGATGTAGCTGGTTTAAAGTCGGTAAATCAAAAGGACACATACAGAACTTCAAATGTGCTCCCAAAGAGATATCCATGAAGACTAATGAAACTATTGTGGATGTTTCAGAAGTAACTCTCAAGCACTACAATGCTCTCTAACATTTTATCACTTCAGTGCTTACAACATATTCTGTAGTTTCACGGCTTCAGTTATTCATCAAGTTAAATCAGTCTTTCTCTAGCTCAAACTCATATCTGGAAAACTAGTTCTGCATTTCTACCTGGCAGGTGAGTTTCTTTGCATAAATATAAACTTAAATAACTAGGAAGTTCGCTACCTTAGACTTTTAAACAAGTCATCAAGGGGTAAAACAAAAACAATTGATGGAAAGTAGAAGTTTTAATTTGCTTAACTTTCTTTTCAATCAGTTAGATTTGTCCAAAAATAAAATGGCCTGCTCTAAAATGCACTAAGCTCCAATACCTATGAAACAAACCTGCACACCCTTCATGTGTACCCTGAAACTAAAAATAAAAGTTTATTTAAAAAATGTTCATAATCTTGATAACAACTTGCTGGGGGATAGTGAAGTAGATTCTAATATCACATAATTGGTCAAATTAGATTACCTTCCAAGTCCCTCTTAACCTTGAGATTTTATGATTCTATAAAATTATTATTTTATTCTCTCATAATATCATGTTTAAAAATATTTTTCTACCATTAAAGCTTATTTGATTTACCTTTTTCCATTATGTATAACACCTACATTTATTTCCTGATGCGTTATTCAATAATCAATTTACTTCAATTTATACATTTGATTTATTTCTCTTCATCTTAGTCTTTTAAAACTTTTCCCCCCTCAGTAATTTTAATCTTAACATCTATAATTTATTAATTCCAAATAATTTTGAAAAATATCTTTAAAAGGAGACAGTAACTTTGTGCCTAATTCAGCCTATAAATAAACATTTGTTCATGCTGAATAGTTTAAATCTGATTGTCTCAAAATAGCTCACATAACCTTTGAGATTAAAACACTTGTTTACTTCAAAAGAAGCTGAAGTTTCATTTAGTAGATACCTATAAAGTGCTTTAAAATGTTTTAGTGAAACAGGATATAAAAGATCAATTTTTAACTGAATATCTTGTAGCTTCTTCATACTTACAGCTTGTTAAATCTATGCTGATTCACTAAGTTTTATAAGATGCTATTAAAAAATTATCAATTGGTTTGGAACTTTTTCTACGACATAAAATGTTTCAAAAGTGTTTCTTCTATGGAGATACAGAAAGATCAACAGAAATAAACATACAACAAAAGTAAAAATATTAATTCATGTTTTATCATATTTTTATTTGTTTAACTTCTACAGCCTATGTTCCCATTTATAAAATTGTGTGTAACTATATTTTCAATTGTTTCAACAGCGGTATATCAAAAGTTAAGCAAATGGTAAGGCAGTTAGGTTTTGATGGTTATCAAACATGTAATTTGTTGACCTAAACAGAATTTGCAATGAACAAAGAGAAAAAAAAAATGTTTTTTTTTTTTACCAAATGTTTTTACAATGCTTCACAAATGTTTTTACAATGCTTAATAACAGACAAACCGAATACGTAAATGACCTAAGTATGTTGTACATAATCATAGATTACTACAACTACATTTAGAGTTTGGAACTTTCTTGAGTGCCCACTTCATTGTACAACAAACAGTTCTCTAACCCTAGTTTAATTAGTAGTAAATCTTTTAAAACATGTATTTATTTTATTTAAAGTATCAGAATGAGCAAAATATATGCTAGACGAAAAAATAAAGTCTATCTTAGTTATTTTGATATCATTGTTCCCCTCTGAAAAATGACAGAATAGTTTAAAAAACTATATAAAATATTGTAATGTTTATAATTTAAAAACAAATCAGCAATGTAGACACAATATTTGTTGAACTAAAAATTACATCCTATATATTATTTTATGTAAATGATGTTTGGTTAAAATAAAACTAGGGACATGTAAATGTCTGTGTGGAAAGCACTAAAAACTCACAACATAAAATCAAATATCCATCATAATCACTTACTCTACAGTATTTTTATCTGGCCTGTAATATTTGTATGGGGAGTACTCACGTTTAACACTAACAACCCGTTCTAGCTATTCAATCTTCTGCAGCTCCCCAGTACCCTCAGGCCATACTAACATCTGCTCAGAGTAAACAAATTAATATATTCATAGCTCTCTTATCAAAATAACCTTGAAAATAGTTCCAAAAAGTTAAAGAGATCTAGTAACTTTAGGAGTGATGTTGCCTAATGTCTTTCAGGATTACTCTAATATCCTCCAGCCCTGGGGCTCAAAGGGGATGTGTGTGATTTCACACTTGCCCACATAAAATATGGTGTACCCAGGAGTGATTCTCCTCAAGTTGGGCAACCACCTGAAAAGGCCAAAAATATCTCTGTGACACATCAAACTACTGATGCAGTTTGGTTTTTCCTAAATCTCACTGATTCATTATGGAGATGTACTCCTTTGGCAACCCTGCCTGGATATACCACTTTGAAGGCCAATTTGGAGACCCAGTGAGTGAAACACCTATGACAAATGTTTCTTGTCCATTTATGTCTTCCTGTATGTAAAATTCACATGGAAGAATCTATTATCCTAGAAAATACTGGAAAGAGGTTTGGAACTCATGCCAGTGAGTCTGAAACGCTTTATTTAAAAAGAATCCATTTTAATACATGGTGCTTTTTGCTACTTTCTAGGTCCCTGTAGATACTTTACTAATCTTAATAATCTTCAAGAATGCTGAGTATTTTAGAGAACAAATGGAAACAATATAAGTATGATATATACATATATATATATAAAATCTAAATTCACTTTATGCAGAACCAACACAGTTGCCATACTAAATTTAGTGTGTGTGTGTATATATATATCCCAAAAAATTCCACAGGCCCCTGGCTGTCTCTATGACCAACTCCATCCTTTCCTATCTTTTAATGTAGGTAATATGGACACTAACTTGTGGTATTATATGTCCATAATATGAGCTAATGATGGTATAAATTATAGTATATACAAATTCACTAAATAAAGATGCAAAACATATATCCAGGCCTGTCTGTCAAAGGATTTTATGCATAAATTAAAAGAGAGTACTGTTTATTTGCAAAGGGTGAGTTGGAGTTCTTTGAATGATTTTAAAAATAGGGTCAAGATCATTCTACCTCTACAATTATAATAGCTAAATAACTTTGCTTGCCTTGGACAATGTATTGCATTCACTTCAGGAAGAAATGGCAAGAGATACAGAGATGATTCCCCAGGCTACCTTCTATTCACTTTGGGAGTTAGTGGAAGGCTGCCCTCTTTCCAACACAGTAGCAGATGAAAGGGATCTATTAAAAAGAATTGCGTTGGTTTACACTGCAGATTGAATGGAGCATTAAACGACTGCATTAGTATGACTGCAGTGGGGGTAATGGTCGCCTCTATAATATTGTAATAACACTTTCACATACGTGTAATAATTGTTTCTAATTTGTCACGAAATGATATCCAGCATCTCTCCGGAAAATGCCCCCCTCCCAACTCCCTGTGCCCTACAGTTTTATTCCCCCACCCCCCCACCCCTGGCAAATGTAAACAGATGAGGAAATATGTGTACTTTCAAATCGTCACCCATGTATCATGAAGGTGGGGGATTACTGCAAATCACTTGGAAACCGCTCCCCGGAGGCGTTTAGCGATACCGCCCACCAATACAGCTCAGATGTTCTTAATTTGATTACCCCCCACCTTTTGGGCTGTAATTTTCCAAACAGGCATCTCTCTCATTTGCAAATACAAGTTACAAATCAATCCACAGACACAGAATGCTGACTTCCCGACACTCAATTTCACAGGGTGTCTCTTGAAGAGCTGCCAGGTTGTGACCGATAATGGGGGAGAGGGAGAGGGGCACAGATCGAGCGAACGAGAGGCGGGGGGGGAGGGGGGGGAGAGAGAGAGAGAGAGAGAGAAAGAGAGAGAGAGAGAGAGAGAGGGAGAGAGAGATCACTTGCTTCCTTGCTTCCTAAGCCGGGATTTTGCCTGCGATGCGCGGCGAGAGGACTGCGGCGGCTGATTTACACAGTTGGCGCGGAGGAGGGGCCGGGGGTGCGGGGGGGACGCGCTGGCGGAGCTCCGGCGATGGGCTGATCTGGGGGCTCCCGAGCGCCGCTCCCTTGGTGCGCGATTTGGGGGCGGCTGATGGATTTGCATTCAGGTTCCAGCCCTGCGCTTCCTATATTGACTCCTTATACCCGACCTCGCGCTTCCGTTTAGGAGGAGACGTTGGTAAGTAACGTGTAATCCGATTTTAGTTATTTCCTAGGCCATTAAAGTGGCACTTTTAAAGCAGGTCAGTCTTAAAAGATGCCGCCGCCGCTGCCGCCGCGAGCGTCTCCTTGGCCTGAAACGTTCGGCGGTCCCCTCCCCCTCCCGCCCCCCTCCCCCGCACCTTCTCCCGCTGGAGAAGTGAGGGTGCTTGAATGGTGAGCGGTCAGGGGACTCACTCTCTGCCAACGGGCTCGCTTCACCTTCGTGCTTTGCCTGAGATCTCCCAAATCCAAGTGGAATTTGGTGTGCACAGCCATACTGTGTATTTGTATCTTCTCTCCCTCTCTCCTTCTTTCCCCCCACCTTCGCCGTCTGACCAATGCTGGGATCTGAGATCTAGTCGCCCCCTTCCTGCCTCCTTTCCGCCTCTCCCCACCCTTTTCTTCTCTCATCTACACACCATCCACCCCCACTCCCACCCACCTAAAGGGCAAAGAGCAAAGACACCCTGGAAAAGCAAGGGCTAATTCCATCTTTTCGGATGGAAGGAGGCCTCGGGCAGGGATTGTGAGTGACAACCCTTCAGGAAGAGAGAAAGAGAGAAATCCAGAGACTGAGCTCAGGCTCTCGGGAACAACGAAGCTCTCCACTGATCGAGAGCACTGAGATTTTAAATCAAAGGAACCTAGTCCTGGGACACTCACTCTGCCTGCCTGCCTGCCTGCCTGCCATCGAAGGCATAGGGAGCTGTGGTTGTGAGCTCCCTGTCACTGACATCGCAGCGCTAGGTGCGCGCCCGGCTCTCCCATTGGTATGCAGCGACCATTTCCCTGCAAATCTCAAAGGTGGAAACATTTAAACGGATTACAAGCGTGATTTGGTAGCCTTTCGGAAAGTTGGTGGCCAGAAGAGGAGAAGCTACAAGGCTACAGTATGATGGATACAATTCAGCCTCCCAGAGAGTTTGCCCCTCCCGCTGGGAAGCCCCTCGGAGCAAACCTCGGAGATCCTGAGCACTCTGCACCATAGGTACTCGCCGCCATCCTTTCCTACTTTGCCTAATTGAAACCAGTATTTCTCGTATGTAGGATGTGCATTGTAGAGCACATCGAGTTTGGCCGCGGTGTCTTCTGTACGCTCACAGGTGCTAGGGGTTTGTTGCAGTTTTGAATTGGATCAGTTAGGTGTAAGGACGTTGGTGGAAGGAGGGGTATCGGAGACTAACATACCCTCGGACCTCTTTTCTGGGTGAAGACATCGTAAGTAACTCCAACAAATAGGCCAGGTGGCAGAGCGAAGGACCCCTCCCCCTGTGGATTGTTCGCTAGTGTTGTAAGAGGTAGAAGGAAAAACGCTTGAGCTTTTAATAATTTTCCATTTCTAAACAGACCATTGTGCGTTTCGCCTGACGACAGCAGATTAGAAAAGGATCTATAGACGGCTGAAAGCTCTTCAGAAAATGAATGATGCAGCATTTTAATTACTTGTTCTAGGGAAGATAGTTTGCTTCCATATTGAAATATTTAATCTTAGATCTGAAGAGATTAGTGAGCTGTAAGATCCAGCAGTGGGGAGGAGGAAGTGGGAAGGGGGCACAGCGGGGAGAAAGGGCTTCTTGTCCTCTCTCTGGACAAACAAATGGCTCTGGGCGCTCCCAATAGGACACGGAAAAAATCGGGGCCCCATGGCTCAATACCCCTAACTTTTGGAGACCTCCCTGTCTTTTAGACACGCTATCCTGAGCTAAAGGAAAGCAAAAAGATGAGATAGCCTTTAGGACATAGCCCAGGTCCAGAATTTAAGGGGTTTTAGTTCAAGAAGGAACAGAGACTTCATCGCCGAGACAATATTTACCGTCATCTGGAAGCTCAGGGCAGCCTCCGGGTTACCCATCGATTCCATCACATCATGGGTTCCGATAAGACCCGATAAATAGTCACCGCCTCTGCACATTGGGTACTCAAAGTGCTGGGCGGGGGATGGGGTGAGGGAGGGTGCGGGTGCAGGCAGCTGGTGAGGAAGAGGGAATTGCTCTGATTCTGAGCTTAGGCTATCGGTATTGGTTTACTTCTTGGCTGAGACCTATGGGAGTAAATAGGGTGGGTCTGGAATTTTAAGGGTAGAATGTTAGAATATTCTGCCCTCCTGCTTACTTAGTCTACGGTGGCATGTTTCTAAAATTAGCTACTGTGTGTCAGTGGACTCACGCGCGGTCATTTTAAATGCAAAATATTATGGAAATTGCCTTTGACTTTTAAGGAACACATTGTTAGGTGATTTACCTGTTGTAGAGCAGTAAGGTATTGATATGTAAGCTGTGCTTTGCTTTAAAATTTGCTTTTGTAAAGCGTCCTTTAAGGGGAAACCGTCTCTACCTACTAACTTTGAGCCCTTGGGCAATTGAGGTTCAGTTTAGTTCTTTTGCAACCAAAAAGTCCCTCCCTTCTCCCCCTCGGCAAGTTGGTGACAGGGTTGGTGTGTGTTGGTGGGGGCAGATGGGGAGCATCCACAGCACACGGGTCCTGTTAATTAGACTCCTTTGCTGCACACTTGGCTCTCCCCAGTTTCCTCACCAAGCTGCATTCCTTCCCAGCAGGCAGGACTGTAGTGCTGTCAGCTGAGCCTTAAAAAATTCCTCTGAGAGGGTTCCTGAACTATCATCTGGTAGTCCCTCTACAATACAATATCTTCCTTCAATCACCTCCATCCCCACTCCCACCACTCCCTAGGATCCACTTCCCGAAAATTTCACTGAGAAATATTTGAGTTTAAAAAATAAGAAAGAAAAAGAAAGAGCGGACAAAACCATTCAAATCCTTAAATCCACCCCAATCCCGCGAGGTCTTTTCCGGCGGCAGAATGTGAAATGTACCATTGTTACCCAAGTGGTCTGTATCTCCTTCCAGAGAATTGGCTTGTCTCTGTTTTTAAAAAGGTGAAAGAAAAGAAATGCTGTTGAATCCTGGGGATATCGAAGGCTTTGACCTGCAGCACAACAAAAGAATTCCTGGTGCAAAGGGATCGAAGCAAAATGCAGGAGAAACTCGGTCCAAGTCTTTCAGGCTCTCTGAGCTTTTATTCGGGACACCCAGGCAGAATCAGACAGATTTAGCTTTTCTGCTTTGGGGACCTGGATTTTCCCCCCATCCCCGTCATTTCAGGGAATGGCTGTCCCTGTGAATAGAATAATTCCGAAGGAACAGTCTCACTTTAAAACCACCTGAACTAGAGAAGGGGAGCTTTGGAAACTAGAGGACAGATAGAATGATCCAGGGGATGGTTTCTTTTGAGAGTTAAAAAAAAAAAAAAAAGAGAGAGAGGAGAGAGAGAAGAAAGAAAGAAAGAAGAAAGAAAGAAAGAAAGAAAGAAAGAAGAAAAGAAAGAAAGAAAAGAAAGAAAGAAGAGAAAATGCCTAAAATGCTATCCAAAAACCGGCCTCCCCATCTCCAGCTTCACCACCAAGAAATGTTATCCCATAGGTATCCCTCCCCACCTTCGCTCTTGTTTCTTATTTTGCCAGTTTGTGTTCTCTATCTCTACGTATTTTTCTACACAACCACCACACACACTCACTCACTCACAACTGTATAGTCCAGGGGCTCCCTATTGCTCGCGATCCCGAACCTATGCTAAGCGCGTTCCCGTTTGGACGCTCATTTGTTTCATGACGTGGAATACTGGGTTCAGTTAATAGCACATATATATTTTTAAAGCCGGAGAGCCGAGGGAAGTCTGAGATTCCCGCGGCCACTGTGATTGAAGCCTTCCTTCTCCTGCCTCCCTCCCGCCCTTGCTCCCAGTGACCAGTGATGTGCTGTGGGTACCAGAGAGAGCAGCACCGCGGCGCAGCGGCAGGGCAGCAGGAGCTGGAAGCCTGCTGGCAGCCCTACTCTTCCCTCCTCCTCTCCTATGTGAGTCTGCAAAGCGGCAAGTTTCGCCATCCTAAAGAAGCCCATTGAAGAAGCCATTGCATTCCTAGCCACGTCTCCAAGCTCTGCTGGCTCTTTATTTTTTTTTTCCTGGTCCCTGCCAACCCCCCTTTTATCCCCTTTTGGCTTCAGCTTCAGGCAAAACCAAAGGAGTGGAGGGAAAGAAGAGAAATCCTTTAAACTCAAGCTTTTTTTTTTCCTTTTTCTTTTCATGGTTCACGGTTCCAGGCTAAAAAAAAATAAAAAAACAAATAAATAACATAAATAAATAACCAAAAAAAAAAAAAAAAAAAAAAGAAAAGAAAAGAAACCCAAAAAACTCTGGCAAAATAGGTAAGTCCAAGACATCTGGAGCCTTTTTTGCCTAAACCACAGGGACCTGAAAAACAAGAAAAATATTTAAGATAGTGAAGAAGGAAGAACTTAAGTAGATTTTAATATTTCATAAGGGAGATGGAAGACTAATTGATACTGCAATGTAGGCTTTTCTGCCTTTTCTCTCTCCCTCTTTTTCATTTAATTGTTTTTAATTTTTCAGTATTGCATGTCTGAGGCAGACTTCTCTTTGCGTTCTCACGGTATCTCCTTTCTTTACAGCTGTGAACATTATATGCAAGTGTAATGTGAAGATTTATTTTTTCACTTTTCCTATAAATTATATCATTGTGTTTTAAGAAGAAGGTTGATGAAATATATCTTTCTGTGTGCTATCTGTGAGGAAAATATATGCTAGAAACTTTGGTTTATTTTTATTGATTAAAATCAGCTATTCAATTTTGATGGATATTTTAGTGACTCAGGAAGGAGAATATAATAAAACTGTATTATTAACATTTATTTATGTAAACATTTTCATATACTGATGTTATTAGGCAAGGAAAGCGATGCATAGAGGAAGACTCTATGTTATCAGAATAGTGCATTGCATTTGTTTCTTCCGATTGGAAAAGAATGATATCTTTTTTTAAATTTATTTCATGTGATAGGTCATTTATCAGCAGGTAAGAATAGAGGTTTCCACTCTCTCTTGACTTTAACTACCCGCCTCCCCTCTAACCAGTCACCTGCTCTTCCAGCTTTTTAAAGGGTTCCTCAGTTGATCTTGAAGGCACAGATACACATTCCAAACTAAGCTTTGCGAATGTTTTAATTCAGACACTTTCAGACTCAGCATCCTCTAGCTGTCCCTATCTTTAGCTCTGACAATTACATGGGCATGTTTTTTAGAAGGGCTAATGACTCCTATATGCTTTAAATAGTTAAACGATACAAATATATACAAATTACTTATTAAATTAAAGAAGATGACAGTATTCTATTCTTGGGCCAAAGGATGTGGACATATAGTGTACATACTGACTATACACTATTATAAAGCATGTTATGATCATTTCATAAAAATAAATCTTAAGTTTTCCTGAGTTGCTGATCATTTTACACATCTCAACATCTGATATTGAGCAACAGGCTCACACTTTATCATACTAATCAATATAATAATTTTGGAGTATGTCATGTATTTTTAATAGTCAAAACCTATAATTCAAAGAACATATTTTTCCCATCAGAGTTCCAATCAGATTTATTATGAGTATCTTTGATGGCAACATGAGTTTTAACAGGCAAACAGGTGTAATGGCCACATTATTGCTATTATTACTGAATCTGCCTATGCCTAAAAGGAAGTACGATGTACCAGTTCTGTTGTTTGTTATACAGAGGCAATGCAGTCTGCTTTTGTTCATGCGATATGCTGTTTACCAAGTATGGCTTGGTTCAGGAAAATGTCACTGCATGGTTCAATATTTCAGAGTCTCCTAAGTTTAAAATATAGGACACACTCTAAACGTTAAGTGTATTGCTAGCTCATTTTGAGTGTCACTTCTACAATTGCTGAAGTTTTTATATAGCTCTTAAAATGCCCCACATGTAGGAGTCAATTAAAATAGTACATATGACTAAAAGCTAAAAATCTGCATTTTTATTTCTGTTGCAGTTTTGTAATCAGCCACGAACGATGAAACCTTCCATAGCTGAGATGCTTCACAGAGGAAGGATGTTGTGGATCATTCTTCTAAGCACAATTGCTCTAGGATGGACTACCCCGATTCCCCTAATAGAGGACTCAGAGGAAATAGATGAGCCCTGTTTTGATCCATGCTACTGTGAAGTTAAAGAAAGCCTCTTTCATATACATTGTGACAGTAAAGGATTTACAAATATTAGTCAGATTACCGAGTTCTGGTCAAGACCTTTTAAACTGTATCTGCAGAGGAATTCTATGAGGAAATTATACACCAACAGTTTTCTTCATTTGAATAATGCTGTGTCTATTAATCTTGGGAACAATGCATTGCAGGACATTCAGACTGGAGCTTTCAATGGTCTTAAGATTTTAAAGAGACTATATCTACATGAAAACAAACTGGATGTCTTCAGAAATGACACCTTCCTTGGCTTGGAAAGTCTAGAATATCTGCAGGCAGATTACAATGTCATTAAACGTATTGAGAGTGGGGCATTTCGGAACCTAAGTAAATTGAGGGTTCTGATTTTAAATGATAATCTCATCCCCATGCTTCCGACCAATTTATTTAAGGCTGTCTCTTTAACCCATTTGGACCTACGTGGAAATAGGTTAAAGGTTCTTTTTTACCGAGGAATGCTAGATCACATTGGCAGAAGCCTGATGGAACTCCAGCTGGAAGAAAACCCTTGGAACTGTACATGTGAAATTGTACAACTGAAGAGTTGGCTGGAACGCATTCCTTATACCGCCCTGGTGGGAGACATTACCTGTGAGACCCCTTTCCATTTCCATGGAAAGGACCTACGAGAAATCAAGAAGACAGAACTCTGTCCTTTGTTGTCTGACTCTGAGGTAGAGGCTAGTTTGGGAATTCCACATTTGTCATCAAGTAAGGAGAATGCATGGCCTACTAAGCCTTCCTCAATGCTATCCTCTGTCCATTTTACTGCTTCTTCTGTTGAATACAAGTCCTCAAATAAACAGCCTAAGCCCACCAAACAGCCTCGAACACCAAGGCCACCCTCCACCTCCCAAGCTTTATATCCTGGTCCAAACCAGCCTCCCATTGCTCCTTATCAGACCAGACCACCAATCCCCATTATATGCCCCACTGGGTGTACCTGTAATTTGCACATCAATGACCTTGGCTTGACTGTCAACTGCAAAGAGCGAGGATTTAATAACATTTCTGAACTTCTTCCAAGGCCCTTGAATGCCAAGAAACTGTATCTGAGTAGCAATCTGATTCAGAAAATATACCGTTCTGATTTTTGGAATTTTTCTTCCTTGGATCTCTTGCATCTGGGGAACAACCGTATTTCCTATGTCCAAGATGGGGCCTTTATCAACTTGCCCAACTTAAAAAGCCTCTTTCTTAATGGCAACGATATAGAGAAGCTGACACCAGGCATGTTCCGAGGCCTACAGAGTTTGCACTACTTGTACTTTGAGTTCAATGTCATCCGGGAAATCCAGCCTGCAGCCTTCAGCCTCATGCCCAACTTGAAGCTGCTATTCCTCAATAATAACTTGCTGAGGACCCTGCCAACGGACGCCTTTGCAGGCACATCCCTGGCCCGGCTCAACCTGAGGAAGAACTACTTCCTCTATCTTCCCGTGGCTGGTGTCCTGGAACACTTGAACGCCATTGTCCAGATAGACCTCAATGAGAATCCTTGGGACTGCACTTGTGACCTGGTCCCCTTTAAACAGTGGATCGAAACCATCAGCTCAGTCAGTGTGGTTGGTGATGTGCTTTGCAGGAGCCCTGAGAACCTCACGCACCGTGATGTGCGCACTATTGAGCTGGAAGTTCTTTGCCCAGAGATGCTGCACGTTGCACCAGCTGGAGCATCCCCAGCCCAGCCTGGAGATTCCCACCTTATTGGGGCACCAACCAGTGTATCACCTTATGAGTTTTCTCCTCCTGGGGGCCCTGTGCCACTTTCTGTGTTAATTCTCAGCCTTCTGGTACTGTTTTTCTCAGCAGTCTTTGTTGCTGCAGGCCTCTTTGCCTACGTGCTCCGAAGGCGTCGAAAGAAGCTGCCCTTCAGAAGCAAGCGGCAGGAAGGTGTGGACCTTACTGGCATCCAAATGCAATGCCACCGGCTGTTTGAGGATGGAGGAGGTGGTGGTGGTGGAAGTGGGGGTGGAGGTCGACCAACTCTTTCCTCTCCAGAGAAGGCCCCTCCTGTAGGTCATGTGTATGAGTACATCCCCCACCCAGTTACCCAAATGTGCAACAACCCCATCTACAAGCCTCGTGAGGAGGAGGAGGTGGCTGTTTCATCAGCCCAAGAAGCAGGGAGTGCAGAACGTGGGGGTCCAGGGACACAACCACCGGGAATGGGTGAGGCTCTCCTAGGAAGTGAGCAGTTTGCTGAGACACCCAAGGAGAACCATAGTAACTACCGGACCTTGCTGGAAAAAGAGAAGGAGTGGGCCCTGGCAGTGTCCAGCTCCCAGCTTAACACCATAGTGACGGTGAATCACCATCACCCTCACCCTCACCGCCCAGCAGTTGGTGGGGTTTCAGGAGTAGTTGGGGGAACTGGGGGAGACTTGGCAGGGTTCCGCCACCATGAGAAAAATGGTGGGGTGGTGCTGTTTCCTCCCGGGGGAGGCTGTGGTGGTGGCAGTATGCTACTAGACCGAGAGAGGCCACAGCCTGCCCCCTGCACAGTGGGATTTGTGGACTGTCTCTATGGAACAGTGCCCAAATTAAAGGAACTGCACGTGCACCCTCCTGGCATGCAATACCCAGACTTACAGCAGGACGCCAGGCTCAAAGAAACCCTTCTCTTCTCGGCTGGAAAGGGCTTCACAGACCACCAAACCCAAAAAAGTGATTACCTCGAGTTAAGGGCCAAACTTCAAACCAAGCCGGATTACCTCGAAGTCCTGGAGAAGACAACATATAGGTTCTAACAGAGAGAAGAAAATATATTAGTGCTTTTTTTTTCCCCCAAAAGAAAAGGAAAATAAAAGAAATATATCCCTTGCTCCCTTTACACTTGTCCCAATAACTCCATCCTCACGATCTTCCCTACCCTGAACAAAACTGAAACCGCATGATAACTAGAGAATACAGATGTATGCTCTCCCCTCTCAGATGTGATTTGGAGGAAGGGCCATACTCAGATCATTAATCAATGAAGTGCCTTCGCAGACTTTTGCCAGCAAATGTTATCATTATTTTTTTATACTGAAACTTAAGACTTTGACTGTGCCATGTATAAGGTATACCGGGGATCATTGTATGGATCCTAATTAAGTAAAATTCAATGTGTCTTTTTATTTTCAGTAACTATTTTTTTTTTTTTAGTTGTAGTTTTGTTTTAAAGGGAGGGGGGAAACAAGTTGACATTTGTCATTTGTGGCTTTCTTTCTTCTCATCATGGCACAGATTCTGTACATGTATTAACAATGCAGTTTGCTGCATGCCTGGAAACTGCAAGACGGGGAGGGAGGGGGCGGGTCTTGCTCGAATGTTCTCACTCACTATCTTGTCTCTCATACACATATCCATCTGCAAACCGTGATCCCTAAACCTGCAGTTTCTTCCTGCTGGTGCAGGTACACACACACACACACACACACACACACACACACACACACTCCGTACCATTCCCATTCAACCCAATCTGCTTAGTTCGGGTTTGATCCATTTTTCTCCTCTCCATAGTTCCACTACCCTTCACTGCTAGTGTACAGCTCACAGCATCTCTCCTATCACCCTGGGAAAAGTCACATTCTAGGCTGGATTCTACCGAAGTGGAGGCCTGGTGGTTTAACAGCCGAAGACACGCGCCTAGGGGTGAGCACCCTCTTTGTGACACTTCATCCTGATGCCAAGATTTTTTGGAGAACATCTGCACTTTCTTATATATATATATATAATATTTAAAAAAAGCAACTGGGTATATATCACTAACAGCTTTGTAGGAAGCACTTTTAATGTTTTCTCTCTCACACACAAAGATTCAAAAGAAATGTGCATATATTTATTCTGTAATTTCAGTGATTATAAATTGTAAAGGTAATGTTTAATCATTGTATAGTGATTATGCGTCTGGTATAGCTTTCCTAATAAAAAGTTTTTGAAAAACATAATACATTATATATAGAGGATACAAAGCTTGAACCTTAAACTCCAGCTATGCCATGCCTTTCGTGCTCCCATTTTAAAAAATGATTTCTTTTACTTGTTACACAGAAAGTAATTTATTAACGGGTTTGATGCACTGTGATGTTGATAAATCTTATATCCCACCATCTCTATTCCAAACCAGGATACAATTGAGACTTAAAATCTGACTTACAGTTTTTTTTTTCCTTTACTTATGAATTTCAATCTTAGTAACCAATGATGCACGTTTCCTAGGCAAGATGCAAGGGGGAGAAAATAAATTAACTAGATCACTGAGAAGTACAGGATTAATTAGGAGAACGTAATCAAGGATCCGTACATCTTAAGATAATAGATGACATAAAGAAATCGGAGAATAAAATTGCTATTGTTTTTAAAATATATAGTCCAACGCACACCCTCATACACCCACACGCTTCCACATACACCCACACAACCCAGTAAATATCAAAGGCCTTGGCCTTGGAGCCAATTATATGGCCAGAATCCTGTGAAAGCTGTCACTTACATTTGACTACTATTTTCCAACCACTGACAACAACTGGCCCCAATAACGTTTGAATTAAGTCAGAGGATGCTGAATGAGTTTTTCGTCCTATGACATTAAAATTATGTAGAAAAATTAACCTGACAACAAGCCAAGTTTAGATCCATTTATATGTGAGCGAAACCAAAGAATACTGGATTTTTACGGCGCCGGTATCAAATTGGTGGAGGAAACTTAAGAAAACAGACCTATGAGGCAGGCACTTATCGAAGTAGGCCATTAGAGGGCAGCAGAGCTCCAGAGAGCCACAGACCCAGGACCTGCAGAACTGTGCAGTGAGGCCGGTGTTCTCCGCTAGTGTTTCCTCAAAGTGCCCATAGTAGGAATTATCATTACGTGTTGAATGTAATTCATCACAAGTCACTGATGCCTTATATCACATTTTTTTCCCACAAAAAGAGAATGAGTCTAGCAGTTTCTGAAGGTGTGTCACTACTATAGCATGAAGCCATTGTAGTAACAAAATGAAAGCCCCATGAATGTCTACAAGAGTATATTTATATTTCTCTTGATTAATTATATAGAAATGTCAGCATAGGTATGCATAAAAATTAAAAAAAAAACAAGTATATCCATATAAAATTGCAGTTTTGGGGCACTTGACAAACTTTTATGCTCAATTATTTGAATATATTTTGGAATTATTTTAGAAGGAAGAAGCTCATGAACATCATCCACTTTATCTCTCTGTGTAATATTGAAGTGAAGCTCTTATGCAGAAGACTCAGGCCCACTATTAAATAGGTGTCATTCTTCTTTTTTGTTTTATCTTCTTCTTTTCTTTCTTGCTTTCTTTTTTACTTTCCCACAAATCACCTTTCTTCTAGTTATCCCACCTCCTTTATTCTTTCTAATTATCTGTCTCTTTTTTTTTAAGGTACATAAAACCAATATTACACTTTAAGTGTTTCAAAGCCCAATTTATAGAGTCTCTGAACTAGCAATTTATCATACTTCTGTTCCTCCTAATCAAATGGTTTGGGGAATAATAGAAAGCATATGCATAGTAAAAACTTAAAAGTGCAAAGCTAGATGCTTCAGATAATAGTCCTCATTTCTTTAATGAACATGTACATATTCATAACACAGCATATTATACAAATCAAGCTAAAGTACAATCTCAAAAAGACCCTGGTGCTTTCAGCATTTGAGAAATGAGTGTCCATAAACGATATCAAATTACAATATAACTTGATAATTATAATGATTATCTTTTACTTATGAAATACAGAAAGTAAGACTGTTTGGTCTTAAATATAGTTGGTACTTTCACCCTTGAATGAGAAATACATTTATTTATTTACTAAAAATAAATTTATATGAGAACAGAATTTTGTATTTAAGGGAATAGTTTTTTGCTTTTATGGAAATTACCTAAGTTAGCTTCAATTTATAATACCAGATCTGTTTTCATTAAACATGATGGATATTAATGTAGGTACTATGATTATAATATGTTTTATGTTTTTGCTGCAGTAAAATACTTATTTTTAAGAAAAAGAGTACTAATTCACTTCATTGTGATGACTAACTTAACTGAAGCAGACCCAGTTCTGACAGATATTTGCTATTATTCATTGCTATTTTTATTACTAAGTATAGTAATAATATTTAGAAATAATAAAAATATTGTAATATCTCTTAAACTATAAGAGGATTAGTGAGAAATAATTGGAAATTAACTATTAGTTTAATTCAATAACAATTTTAACATCATGTTATACATCATATGTGGTATTATTTATGTAGATGTTTTTATATTTTTATTTAGAATGCTATATTATTTTATCTAATTGCAAATACTTAAAAATAAGGATGATGAACACTATAATTTTAACAAAGTTTAGAGAGAGAGAATCAAAAGGAAAATTTAATGACTGAGCTTGAAGATTTCTTTTTAAACCTGGCAGTATTACTTTAAACCCTTCATATTTGAAAAGAATATGTTTAGGTTTATGAAAATTTATAATGCAATTATAGAACAAAAGGACGTTAACTATCGCAACACATTATTTTGATTCACTTAGTGTAAATTCATTATTCGTACAGTCCTGTCCTTTTGCAATTACGTTGTCTAGGCCAATAAATGTTACACTTTTGTGAAATGGCTATGACAAAGGAAGCATTAATGAAATGCTACACAAAATTTGAGAAATACGACTATAACAAGTCAAGATAATGTGAGAGGAAATGGTAATCAATGGACACTCCATCTTAAGTGATGTGAGCTAGTTTCATTGGCACTTAGACATTTATAACTTAGCTCAAAATTTTCAACTGTGAATATTCAGGTGAACGGAACACAAATAAGTATCACTAAAGTCACCATATTCTCTTCAATATACTATGTTCTGTTTAATATACTATAGGCCTTTTAAAAGTAATAGGAGCAATAACACATGTGTAGTTGGGCCATTGTGTGTGTGTGTGTGTGTGTTTGTGTATACATATATAGTACTATTATATATGTATATACATTGTATATACATGTATATAGTTTATATATGCTGAATTTTACTTCTATGTAAATTACACATTTTTTATTATATGTATAACAATTTCTGTTTTATGCATTTATTTTTCTTGCTTCTGTCTAACCACCATCCAAGAGAAGCTGGATTAAATTACGAGTCTTCACTTTTGGAATATTCACATGTAAAAAGTAACACTGTAATTAATATTTCTGAATTTAAAAGTTATGTTATCTTCCAATTTGTTTCATTTTGTGATTTAAATCATAGGGGATATGTCTCAGTGACATTGTGATTTATTTTAAGTCTTCAGAGTATAGGAACTAATTTCTTCATATAAGTATACAACATAAGTCTAATAAAAGGCAAGTACTTATTTTTTCATTTTTCTATTTATAGAACAAATTTTACAGGTAAAAACAATTTTAGTAACTTCATTAATTAGACAAGACCTTTTAAATTTATCTAAGTCTGTAGGAAAAGTGATATATTTAAGGTGAAATATAAAAGAAGGTCCAGTTTAAGACATCCAGCATCCTGTTTTACTTTTAAAACATCATCCTGAAATTAAAATGTTTGATGATAGTAGTAATAATAATAAACAAATATTACCATCTTTAGTTTGCTTATAGGGAATCTGAATTGAAGGGACATATTTTTTTATATGGAGAAATCAAGTGTATAACAGGGGTTGGTATTTGTGAAGAGGCAACATGTTATGGCCATCTTCTTTAATTTTGGTAATTTTTACTCCTGATAATACATATTATTGAAAAAATGTATTTTTTTTTCTATTGCACTTACATAGATGAACTTTTACATTAAAAATTCTAATAGAAAATAATTCTTGTGGTGGATTTCAAAGATACACAGCCCAAAGGCATCATAATAAATTTACAATTTGACCCAAACTAACTCCTATAGTACCATTAAACTTTAAAACACAATGAATGTTAGTAAAAAGAAGCCTTTCTTCTTCACCACCCAGTAACAGAAAGTCTCAGCATGCCTAATTAAATGTTTCTTTAGTATATTTAGTCTATCTACTTACCAGTAAGATGAGTAGTACAATGAATTGATGAGTTTGCAATGTATTAAGTTGTATCAAAACCAAACAAATTGTATTAAGAAGAATGTGCCATTGACTTAGATAAAAACAAACATGAATACTTTATTTTGATTCAATTATAACAATTGGGAGATTGTTCTCTTGATAATGCAAGGTACTCTATTACTTATATTACAATGTGTTATATGTGAAGACAGAGCTTTTGTATTTCTGATACATTTTGCTAAGAACTTGTAGGTTTACAGTCTTTTTGAATGACGAAACACTATATAATTAGTTTTGGTAGCTTTGAAACAAGAACATAACTTCCCCAAACCTGGGCGTGTCAAAGTCAACTCTGAAAAAAAAAGATGTTGAAAGAAAGATGTCACCTGATTGTGTGGAGAGATGGAAAGAAGTTCTGTTCTTCCTGCAGAACTCATTGCTTTCACTATTCCTGACATCCCTGCTTCTACTTCTGTTTCTGACTCAGTGCCAAGATAATCTTATGACTAAGGGCGTATTCATTGAGCTCAAATCAGGTGTCAAAGCAAGATCAGTGATTGATGACATTTCTCATATCAAGTAACAAAATGCCCAATTCATTTATTGTTGTACCTAGGCTGAGAAGATAATTCAACATATATACCCTGATTGTGATATCATTCATAAGTCTGATGAAAAAAGTCAAAACCTATAGTAAAAATATAACTACTTCTGGAAATTGACAAAATCAGTTAAGTGTTTCAAGAACATGAAACTCATCTTGAAAATCTCAAAACCTTGCCTTTCTTTTTCTGCAATGCTCTTTATCTTTGCCGTGGCATCCAAAATATTGGCTTCATTAAAGCTACTAGAATTCGTATATTGTTCCTGCTTTTATTTACAGTGTAAACTTTTGACTATTCAAACGTTATGTGACCACATAGAATTCTAAGGTTTGTTTTTTTTTTCTTCAGAATTCTGGTAAAACAATTTATCTTAAAATGCTTTTCTTTTTAGTATGTGGTAACAAACTTTATGATTAAAAACAAGTCCATCAAAGATGTAAAGTATTAACAAACCTGTATTTTTTTTTTTTTTTAGTAGAAAACCTTCAGGTCCATCTAAATCCAATCTTTTATGTGTATTAAATCCAATTGGAATTTTTTTTCCCCTACGCGTTCTCTGCTTAACCAAATTTGAATTCAAAATTGAAATCTGTCCCTCTGTTTCCTAGCTGACCCTTCATTTGTTGTTTTATTTTTTCAGCTGGCAATTATAGAAGTAGGTAGAAAAAATGTTAACTACAGGTATAAGTATGAAATCTGTCTGTGGAATAACCAGGTCCATGAATCTTTCCCTTTTTCTTTAGGAAACCTTCTTCAACAAAGGTACAATGGAAAGATAGGGATAAAATGAAAATGTCCTATTTCTAAAGACCTTTTGATAAAGGCTTGATGGAGAAAGTTTGAACTGGGTTTTTGTATTAACCTGTAAGTGTGCTATCTTTGGAAGAGTTTAAATCCCACAGTTGATTTACTAAGCTACTTCAATTAGCATCTGTTAACAAATTCACTGAAAATCAAACCTTAATGGTAACTAAACAAATTATAATTAAACGTAAATATTAATGCAAAAAATCACTAGGATGAACTAAGATAATGATATTAAAACATTTAGATTAGTTCATGGTACAGATGTGTAAAATAAATGAGGTCTTTTTTCTTCTTTTAAATATTAATAGCTTCTTGTGTACAAACAAGAACTCCTCATTGCCTGCAAGTTAATTTTTGGGCTATTTTAACATAACTGTCCTTAGCCCATTACTAGAACGTATTTAAGAAATACAACCAATTATTAATATTTTTAAGAAAACTTTATTATGTATTAAAGTATTATAATCTATTATGTAACATATTTCAGAGCAATGGCTATTTCAGGGCAGAATATACATAGTTTAAAGTATTTTTTTCATCTGTAATATTGCTCCCCCCATTTATTTTTATGATTTGAATTTTAACAGTATAAATGATAATGGCATTGCATTTTAATTTGGATCACATACTCTTCTCTCTTTATAAATGTGGATAAAATAAGTGAACATTGCTCAAATGAATTCTGGATATATATATATTATGATAGATCTATCATCTATCCATCTATCTATCTATCTATCTATCTATATCTCTCCACACACACACACACACAACAAATGCATATATATGAGGACACCATCTACTAACATCTTTATGAACAAATGACAGTTTACATAGCATTATTGCACAGATGTAGTTTTTAATAAAGGCTTTAATTTAAGGTTCAAAATAGGGAGATGTGGTGTGGAATGTTGAAACAGTCATAAAACTGTAGTCGGTAATATTTTATTTGTTGAATGAATCAGGCTTGAGTTTGACACTTACTCACTTCTCATGTTAATTTAAACATGGCTACCCAGTTTATGAGATACACCTTTCACTACTCCTATTCCATTTCAAAAATATATGTGAACATTTCCATAATCATTGTGTCCTAACTCAAAACAGGTAGTATGGAGACATTGGTTCTGTGGAACTTTTCTTCAAATTGCAATCGCGCCTTTCCTAACTGCAACATGCACAATTCGCCCTTATATCCACTGCAAGGGACATCACAGAAAAATGGAAAGAAATGTAGCAAACAGAAAAGTGAAGAGAGAGAGAAGATAATGTGCAATCAGCTGGGAAAGAACTCTGAGGACTTCTTATGCCTGCTCATCAGCACCATTTTGAGAACTATTCCTCTCAGCAAATATCTTACCAAGCAAATACTTTATCTTTCAGGATATGCAGTTTTGCTATTCCCATGTTTGTACAAATTACTGTGGTTATTCTTTTATCCTCCTGGAAATACAATCTTTCATGGGCATCAAAATTCAGTTTCAAATTCCCTTCATGCAGTAGGCTTCTATTGATACAGTAACTAAACATAAATTTTGACTGTTCTCTCAAATACTCCTGCACGCTATTTACTTTATGCTGATTTGAGTATGTTGGAATATTTTACCCTAAGTGTCCTTCAGTCATTTCGCCTATCAGTGCCAAGAATTCTGGCTTTTCAATTATATTGTAAGCACTTGAGAGCACAGGATTATCTTCAATTTTTGTAGCCCAGTGTCTAGGACCATATTTTGCACAGGTATGGGCAATACGTTCTGATCAAATTCTGAGTTCATGAATCTTATCCTGTTTCTAGAATAACCACATCATACCTTTCTTCCATTATTTCCAATACAGAGCCTGGGTAACAATAAACCCTAAATAAATATTTGTTGAATAAATGAATGGACGGGTTTTAGATATGTGTGGGCTATAGATTCTTGCAAAAGTTGAAAGTCCTGTGCATGTAACCTAGAGAAATGATGAAAAGGATAAGTTTGGAGTGTAAGAGTAAGAGAGGTGGTAAGAAATGTTACAGTATGAGAAATAACTTCTTTTACTTTTCTTAAATTTGTTTATTGGAAATATACATGCTGACTAAATAAGCAATATACATGCTGACTAAAGAAGTCAGAGGAAAATGAGTAATACGAGCATATCTCAAGGAGAAACTAGGGCAAAAAAGGAGGAGGAAAGAAGGAAGGAA